CCAAAAAAGCCTTTGGCACATCGTTCAACATAAATAACCTAGTACTTGGTTGTCAAACTCAGTATCATTGCAATCCAGATATGCTAAATGAAATTGAACTTTGAATGTATTAGATTTCCAATATAACAATAACCAGCAATGATAAGCTTCCATTGGACTTCCTCTTTTATAAGGTATTCGATTTGTTTCGTATTTTCGGCGTGATGATTTATTTAAATTCCACTTCATTCCATTTTTAAGTCCCAACTTCAGCGGATTTGGTGATTTAAATATCTACAAAGCTAGTGAGAAGCCTCCCAGGAGGAGACAGTCATTTGCTAATGCAAGCAAGGGAGAAAATTATCTCTTTTCATTTTTGTTTGTTTGTTTTAATGATCCCCTTGCAACAATTTTTTATTTGAGATCCGAAATTTGCGTCCCATATGAGAGAGATTTACTAGAATAAATTCCTTTGGCCTTTCCGTATTAAACATCTGGCGGTTCCGTTAAAATAAAAAATAAATAAATAAATTATGACAGATTCTATTTGACCTAAGGGACCAAATTATTTGAAACCTAAAGAAACGTTGTTATCGTTGTTTGCTACAAAAGTGTTGCGGCTGCTGTAGAATGGATTTCTCGAATTTCATAAGTATAGTGCTGTCCTTTCTGTGCATATCTGGCGCGGAAAATGCAAATGGGGAAATTATTCTTCGAATCGATCCGCTAGGTAAGCTAAATCACAGATAACTTACCATACTGTTAAACATCGTTGTTACTGAAAAAACACTTTTGCTTATATAACAATCTAGAAATTTTAATGTATATTTGAGGAGGGCACTGAACTGTTTTCTATTTTGGAAAGGGCTTAGACGAAATTAAAAGTTTTCGAGAAAAATCTGTAACTGTAAAAATTGTATAAAAATGTCTTATAGAAAATAAAAAAGTGTTTCAGTGATTTTTAAAATATATTCTTATTATTCGCTTGGGCAACATACTCCCCTTAGATGCAAGTATCCTTAAGCAAGAGCTTAAACAGCAATTCCTAAGGAAAGTTGAAAAGTATGTAACAGGTAGAAGAAAGCGTTTCCGACCTTATAAAGTATATATAATCTTGAACAGGATCAATAGCGAAATCGATTGAGCTATGTCCGCCCGTTTTTCCGACAGTATGAATGCTGAAATCTCAGGAACTATAAGAAATGCAAGGTTGAGATTAAGCATGAAGATTCATAGGTAGCATGAGGTCCATACGCAGCGCAAGTTTAATTCAGCATCCTGCCACACCCACTCTAAAGGCCACTAATCACGAAAAACTAAAATCTTTGAAATCAAGAACTATTAGAGCTAGAAAGTTGTGCTTAAGAAGACGTATTTAAGAAATTCCACTGCAACTCTACGCGGTTTTCATTTTTTCTAACGCCCAAAAATCGCGAAAAATTAAAATCGTTGAAATCTCAGGAACTATTAGAGTTAGAAAGTTGAAATTCAGTATGTATAATCCTGGGATGCCAGCGCATCTTAAGGTAATACCATTATCCGGCCAAACCCATTACGCCCACCAAGCTCGAAAGACGGTTGCATTTAATTATAACTATAATTGATATAATTAAGCATGTAGGTTTTTATGATGCCCCAAATGCGAGTTGTTTTTTTCCCATCTAGCCACGCCCACCCTAACTCCCACAAAACCGGGAAAACCTAAGAGCTAGAAAAATAGGCTTAAGAATACATATTTTCCACTAGCAAAATGAATATTTTAAAATTGTGTAAAACAGTAACGGGTTTCTTATAGTCGTGGTACTCGACTATAGCGTTTCTTCTTATTTATTATTATTATTATTATTATTATTATTATTATTATTATTATTATTATTATTAAAATAATTATTATTATTATTAAAATAATTATTATTCTTCTTCTTATCATTATTATTATTATTATTATTATTATTTATATTATTATTATTATTATTATCATAAATATAATTATTCTTCTTCTTCTAGTGCGCCCGATCTCTTCATGAGGGCACTATACCAAAATTCCAATACTAAATACTAATCTATCGATAATCGACCCGCGACATCCCCACCTCCGTGAAGAACCTCTTCGAGGGCTCGTCTGATCTCACCATCCATTCTAGCAAAGGTCCCCTCCACGACCCCCTTCCGCCAGTCTAGACGCGGCACGGCTGGACCGCAAACGAAGAAGACCCACTTCTTCCAGAAACGGTTCCTTAACATTCTTGCTATACGGCACTGCTTCCGCGAAGCTCCTTCCTTAAGAAGGTCTCAATCCACGCCGGGGATATCCGGCGGGCAAGCTGCTCCCTAGAGCAGATCATTTGGCATAAGAGAGGCTTCCTGGTTCACACTCACTGGCAAAAGGGTGAGCGGACGCGAATAAACAATATTCTCCGCCTCTATTAGGAAACGCTCTAAGACGTGCTCCTTCGGCGCCACCTCCTTCACTGCGTAATGAAGCACCTTTTCTACGCACTGCACCATTCGCTCCCAGACTCCGCGCTCTGACGGGTTCGGTGGGCAATTAAAAATCAGTTCAATGCCCTTACTTGACAGTTCCGACTGGAACGTCTCGGGTTCGAAGGATTACTGGCCTCTTGGCGCTGTACGGTATACATATCGCCGCATCAATCCTGCCGTACACTCGCAGGACTAAATTGCCATCTAGGTATGGCGCCAGTCCACATATGTCGCTTCCTTTAGCAACCATCCGTTCTCTGCGGCCTGCATCTCGTCGGGGAACGCCTCCCGTTGTGCTTTGAGGATCAACAAATTCTCAGCTGCCTCACACTCACCTACAGTGGGGCCATAGTTCTCAAGCTCATCTCGTTGTCCACGGCTTCGACAAGTGAACCTTAGGACCCAGGCCGTAAGCCTCAACAATCGCCTGTAGCTTGAGAATCTCTGTAACGATATAAACGTGCCACTTGCCCCAACGAGCACAAACTCACTCGGCATCTCCTCTTCATCTTCTCCATCCGCATCGTCGGCAGGTGCAGCTCCTGTCCAGCTGCCCGCTGATCTCCTCAGTGGCATTCTTGAGGCATTCCTCTCAACCAGCGCGACTCCTCACATAGTCTCATCATCCATCACGTTGTCGGCGGATGGCAGCCATCTCCATTGGGACACCTTCGTCGACTCCAGAATCTCGGCTACTCTTTTCCCTACGAACTGCTTGTAGCGCCTGTGCGTGCAACGCAGCACTGACTTCAAGTTTGTCCATAGCACAATCTGTGCAATGGGCAGGTCCATAATAAAGGGCTGAATAGCTGTAGCATACCTGGCCCACTCCACTAGTTCACTTGTCGGGAACTTGGGCACAAGGTCTTCCATGACTGTAGGATTACCCAGATGCTGCTCTGCGGTCGCCGACTGCAAGAAGACTTTGGGGTTACACACATGCGTGGCGAATGCAACGAGCTTTACCAAATTGTGTTCCATAACTGCGGGCACATCTCGGATACTGTTGAGCTGACTGCGTATTAGTTGCTCCGGTCGGCCATATCTAAAACGCAGCTGCTAATTCGCTGAATTCACATGGCTGAGGTGAATCAACAACAACTTCACCGTCTCACGATCGTCATTCTATAACGCCTTCAGTAACCTCTGGTTGTTCTCCAAGTCCGTACAACCATACGCTTGCGTCGTTTCCGTAAACACGCAAGAAAAGATGGGCCAATCCTCTGGCTTTCCTCCGAACGTAGGCAGCTTAATAAGCTTCTGTAAGTGCGTACGAGAAGACGGGCTTCCCTCCGAACGTATTAAGTTCAGAAAGCTTTCGTGGCGCCCAGCTTGTAGTTCCTCCAATAGTCCTCGCCCAAGCACAGTCTCCAGGAGACGGCGCTTGTACAGATGTACCGCCGGCCACTTTATTATGTAGCCCGAAACCATGCTCTGGAACCCTAGTGACGGTGGAGCAAAATGGCGATGCGTTACTGTTCCTCGTGGTACAGCTCTGCGAAACTTTGCACGGTACCGTTTGAGATCCACTCAAAAATGGCGGTCTCCCAGACGCCGCATGACAAACACTTGTTGGGTTAGGTACGGTCAAGCCGGTTGATTAAATTCCGCCTTCAATACACAAGCAACTAGTGTATATTCCACTCAAAACGCATAAATGTATGAGCGTGCGTATGTATGTTTTATTCTCGTGGGGAATACAAGTTCAAAGAAGTAATCCTAATACAAAAGATCGCTTACCGTTGTATAACCTCCCACACGCCATGGCTTTTGATGACAAGCTCACCACGAGCGCGAGACATTTATCTATCTAGTGTGTCCGATCTCTTCATGAGATCAATACTAATTTCAATACTAAATACTAAACTATCGTTAATCGACCCGCAACAGTTATAATTATAATATATAATATATATATATAATATTATTATTATTTGTATTATTATTATTATTATTATTATTATTATTATTATTATTATTATTATTATTATTATTATTATTATTATTATTATTATTATTATTATTATTATTATTATTATTATTATTATTATTATTATTATTATTATTATTATTATTATTATTGTTGGGTTAGGTACGGTCAAGCCGGTTGATTAAATTCCGCCTTCAATACACAAGCAACTAGTGTATATTCCACTCAAAACGCATAAATGTATGAGCGTGCGTATGTATGTTTTATTCTCGTGGGGAATACAAGTTCAAAGAAGTAATCCTAATACAAAAGATCGCTTACCGTTGTATAACCTCCCACACGCCATGGCTTTTGATGACAAGCTCACCACGAGCGCGAGACATTTATTATTATTATTATTATTATTATTATTATTATTATTATTATTATTATTATTATTATTATTATTATAATTATTATTATTATTATTTTGCATTATTGAAGCCTTACTCATCATTCCTGTATTACGTGGATTAGAGCAAAATTAAAATAAAATAAAACCGAAAAACCAGATCTTCTTTAAGACCATATAATTTTGCTTTCTATTTTTATTTCTTTTTCAACTTAGCTTTGTTGTCGGCTACTTTACGTACATATCAGAAAGCAGCTTGTGATTCGGATCAGGTTACAATAGCCTGTCCCCGTGGTACCAGCATTTCGATTGAGTTTGCCCAATACAACAAATTCGTTGCAAAAGGTTAGTGCACACCCGCATTTTTCAGCTGTCTTTTTGCATTTTTCTCAAAGCTTCCACTTATTCTTTACAGATGGATACAGTATCGAAGATTTATGTCATGTAACTGGAGAAGCAAGACCGGAAATCCAGGGTAGGTCGCAGCACTTGCTCCGTGGTTCCATCTTTGGATTACCTTCGCTGAATGGCAAATATATGAAGGACGTATATGGCCATGCAGAGTCTTTAGAATCCGTCAGTGAACCTACTAGCTCCAGTACAACTGGGTTTGTTGATGAAGAGCTCAATATCGATTACAACAGTGAAAATGCTCCTGAGAACTGTATGTGGCCAAATGCATTACAGGTAATAAACAAAAAATACCTTTTATAATAATGAAAACAAGAAAAAATACTATAGCTTTGACTGTGAGATACCCGTTGCTGTCTTATCCAATTTTAAAATAAATATCTTGTTAGCAGAAAAGGCATGTATAATAACTAACGGTGACGTCACTGCCAATATGATGCATTATAACTTACATTTCTTAATAAATCGCAAAATACTGTTCCGATTTTAAAAGTTTTTCGTAACTTGATAGAAAGTGTCAATAAAATGTTATATAAACTTAAATAAAATAACTTATTTGAATATTATGGGCACCACAGTTTTCCGCGGGCTTGTGGGCGTTAATGTAATACGATTCGGTGGAATCATTTAAAACTGAATGAATACAATATAATTTTTACTTTGTCTGCCTGGCTGTCTACCAGTCTGTCTACGGCAGCTCATGGCGATCTAGCTCTCACAAACTGCGAAAAAATGTAGTGACCATAATATTAAGATGTATACTTTGGCTACACATCTAAATTTTTTTGTCAGTACTTATGCACTTACAAACAAATTTTTGAATTGGAAAATTTTTTCACGATATAAAAAAATGTTGGCGTTACACGGGCAGTGTCACCTTACGGTTTCAGTAATAGGTAACGGTAGTAATTGTCAATTTCGCGGCACTGTATAGTAGTTTTTTTTTTTAAATGTTTCCTAGGTTTGTTAAAAAAGTCTTGCGGTATTTTTATTGAATTTTTCAATTGTTCATAAAATTGGTTACAATAATGCGATTCAAGTAAAATATGCGCCGTTTTGTTCGATGACGCGTTCCCAACGAGATGCCAACTTCATAATGCCCCTCTCATAGAAGCTCACTTCCCTATTGGCAAAAAACTCGGATAGCCAATTTTCACAGGACTCTTTTGTGGCCAACTTCAGACTACCAAGCGCGTTTGCCATGGACAGAAACAGGTGGTAATCACTTGGTGCGAAATCCGGACTATGCGGTGGATGCAAAAGAACCTCCCATCCGAGCTCCCGGAGCTTCTGACGCGTGACTAAAGTGTGTGGCAATTAGGCCTCTGTTGATCAAAGAGTGCTGTCTTTAAGCTGTCCAGTTGTTGGCAGTACAGGTCCGAATTAAGCGTTTGGCCCTAGGGGAGTAGCTCATAGTGGATTATTCCCTGACAAACCCACCAAACACAAAGAAGAACCTTCCTGGCCGTCAATCCAGGCTTGGCCACCGTCTGGGCCGCTTCACCACTTTTCGACCACGACCGTTTGTGCCTTACGTTATCGTAAAGATGTTTTTTTGCATCAATTCGTGTGGCACCCATACATCGAGCTTCTTAGTGGCTCCAAGCTTTTTCAAATAGTTTATAACGGTTTGATGACTCAAGCCCAGCTCTTTACCGATGCTACGGCTGTTACTATGCCGGTCTCTTTCGACCAATTCAGCGATTTTATCGCAATTGAGCTGATGCGACCAATAAAACCAGAACTACGCGCTTTCAGCACCAACTGGCTAAAATACCGCAAGACTTTTTTGACAACCTAATATAATATTTACGTCGGAGAGTTTAAGTATTCGAACCTAAAAAAACGTTGAGCTACTAATGATACAATTTTGTCTTTATATTCTCAGTATTCTTTACTGCAAACTGTTGTTGACGCCTGTCAAAAGAAGAAACACTGCAAGTTTCACGGATCATTGCAGTTCTATGGACAGGGAGCCAGCGGTGTTGGTGACTCGTCTGGAACCAGCAGCTATCATAGCAGTACTGCTAGCACCAGCGCAATGAACAGTGACCCATGCTACAAACGCAGGAAATTAGTCGAAATCGCTTACAAATGTCGCCCATGTAAGTCAAACTATTATTATATTAATAAATTTAAATTTGTAATTTGCTTCATCGATTAATGTATTCTATGACATTTTTAATACCAAAAATTATTTAAATTATTTATAATATTAATTCCTTGCACTTAAAGAAGAATAGGTATAGAAATAAAAGAATGAACCCAATTAAAATTTATGTGAATATTACCTACAACTAAACTTAAAGGACTGTTTAAAAGAAATGTATGTCACAACAACCAATCCTGCGGAATTGCTGCAAGGCGCTGCCTTCTGGACAAAAGCTCTACGAAAGGGCCCTTGCTATTTTTAATTTTTGAGAAAACTGAACTGAACAAAGTTACATTTGTAACGGTAATCAAATAAATGTACTTTTCAATAAATTCGAAACAAAGAAAAGTTATATCTAAGTAACTGTCTTGTTTAATTTTAAAATAATGATTTTGATAGCAGGAGTTAAGGCAGTGAATAATTTTATCAGCGGCGACTTTACTGCCCGTGTAAGGTCTCATAACCTACGAAAAATTTTTGTCAAGCCAATAAATATTAACTAAAAAATGTTATACACAGAAAACATAAATTTTAATATTATAAGCAAGGGATGCTCAACGCCTATGCTCTGAGTGCTTATATATTTTTGTAAATGCTCGGAGCATAGGGACTTCCTCGCCCATAAGCTTTGAGCGCTCGCGGCAATATTACACTAACAATTTTTCGTTTTCCTCTTTCCGCCTCATTTCGTCACCAAACGCAATATATTTTTTTCTTGTTTCTTACTGGAACATCTTCGGACACTTGCACTGGAATTCATTCCTTATACCTTCTGTTTTCAATTTAGAGTATATTTCGAATTTGGCGGGTAAGTAAAATGAGTGATGATGACAGAATATATAAAGGAAAATTCTTCGCTTAAACTAAAAAGGATTAAGAAAAATGGGTTTCCTATTAGCAAATATGAAATAAGAGAGTAGAGTACCTGGGATTCACTGTGTCACGCGAACAACAAACAATTTCCTATTAGATTGTATTGTTAATTACATCAGTTTGTGGTCTTTTGCTAACCAATTCCATTGCGAAATAAACTTAAAAACTCAATACTGAAAATTGCAAGCCGAAGTTACATATAAAGAAAGAATTTCTGAGACGAGTTCGAGGATGTTCCAAGAAAAACCAAGAACATATACTTCATGTAACGACGGAATGACGTGGAAAGGAGAAAACGAAAAATTGTTAGTAGAAAATTGCGGCGAGCTCCCAAATCTTATGGGATAGCGAGCTTTTACAAAAACAAAGGGACACTTAGGCGTTGAGCACCCCTAGCTACCTACAAAAAGTCAAATCTCGTTTGTGTTCGAATATGATCAAATTCTTGCAGCAAAGTCGTCGCGTTGTTGTGTGTAAAACCAGGGTTTATACTAGGGTGGTCTGAAAAGTTATTCGTTATTTCTGGCGTTATTCGTCAATGAGAGCTAGTGAATGTAGTTGTGCTTCAACAGTTACTCACCAACGTTTCGGCCATTTTGGACGCGCATGTTTTGTATTTGACTGATATGCCAAAGGTTCCGAATAATGAACGAGAACTAATTAATGAATAGTAAAAGGAATTTTCTTATTATAATAAGAGAAAACTCAGTTGAAGTTATTTAATTTTTCAACTGAAAAACAAGAGGAAACGCTGTAGTCGAGTGCCGCGAGTATAAGATACCCGTTACTGTTTTACACAATTTTAAAATATTCATTTTGCTAGTGGAAATTACCCAAGCGCCACCTATTGTCGGAGAAAGCATGTCGAGGAACTGATAGTGACGACACTGCCCATGTGAGGCAAACCAAAATCTCTTCATAAGTAGCGAAATAATGTTCCGATTTGAAGAATCTTTGGTAAATGGATAGATATTAACAGAACTAAGTAATACAAGGTCAAACAAAGGCATTTATAATAATATTATAGACTCTTCAGTTTTCCGCGGTTGGTGGGCGTGGCCATATGAAATCTCGTGACAAGTTGCAGCGTCGTCTTTTTAATATGTGTTTTTAAGCCTAATTTTTTAGCTCTTATAGGTCCCAAGATTTTTTCATTTTTGGTTTTCCGGGTTTTGTGGGCGTTAGGGTGGGCGTGGCTAGATGGAAAAAAACAATTCGCATTTGGGGCACCATAAAAATCCACATGCTTAATCCGAACTTTCTATCACTTATAGTTTTCTTATGGTTTTCTTGAAAATGCGAGCTCTTTTGAGCTTGGTGGGCGTATGAGTGGGTGCGCTGGCATCCAAAGTTTATACATACTGAATTTCAACTTTCTAGCTCTAATAGTTCCCGAGATTTCAGCGATTTTAGTTTTTCGCGATTTGTGCGCGTGGCAGGATGGTGAAATAAACTTGCTCTGTCCCTGGACCTCAAGAATTCATGCTTAATCTGAACTTTGTATCTGCTATAGTTCCTGAGATCTTAGCGTTCATACGGACGGTCGGACGGACGGACGGACGGACGGACAGACGGACATGGCTCAATCGATTTCGGTATTGATCCTGTTCAAGAATATATATACTTTATAGGGTCGAAAACGCTTATTTCTATCTGTTACATACTTTTCAACGAATCTAGTATAATGATTTAAGTATCAATTTCTTAGTATGTTTATAGCTGTCCGTCTTTCCGCATGAACGCTGATATCTTGGGAACTATAAAATATAAGCATGGGATAAAAAATGCCGATTATTAAGATGACTATGCAGCGCAAGTTTATTCCACGCCACCAAACCACCAGTTTAAAAAAAATTTTGTTTATTTATAAATTATGAGGCCCCACATGGACAGTGACATCAAAAGCTTTTTTCTGACAAAAGAAGGCTGTGGTGAAATTATTCATTGCCGTTTAATCTTGTTTTTAAGTTTGGTTAATTTGAGATTTATTCGCTAAATGCCAATGTATAGAATTAGGTTGGGGATAGGAGAGAGTGATCATAAAGTTAGAGTCTTGATGCTCATATTATTAAAATTGCTTCTCACTTCTTTTCAATCAGTTTGATTCGATATTGTCGTTGTTAAATAAATCAATGTCTTTTGCCCTTGGCTCTGAGTTCATGTTCATTATTTAAAGGATATCGTCGGGAGCAGTCATCTAGCTAATACCAGAATTATGGTTTACAATTTGTTCAGCACCACTGTATGCTGAATTATCTCTTTTATGTATAAGAAAAGCCGAGATAAGCGCTCGCGAGTCGCCGATTGCTCGGCTGGCGATGCTTAAAAAAATCATAGAAAATATATCTCTTGCAAAACACATATAGAAACTGGTGGCATAAATTAATGCCCTTCTCAAAACAGATATAGTGTTTGAATAAAAGTGATTCTGGTCAATAATGTATTATAGTTGTTTTGGGGAAGACAACGAATTTGTAACCATAATTAACAAAATTGATCTTAACACATGATAGGTTTAATTGCTAAAATTATGTCGTTTATGCTTATATAACCAGAACTTCACTGCCTTGACCAAAAAAGGGCAAGCAAAAACCGACGGGATTTCGATCGCTCTGCTTACAAGAACTCGTCGAATATAAGAGATAAGAAAGAGAGAGGTGATCGTATGAGTGGGTGCGCTGGGATCCAAAATTTATACATACTGAATTTCAACTTTCTAGCTCTAATAGTTTCTGAGATTTCAGCGATTTTAGATTTTCGCGATTTGTGGCCGTTCGAGTGGTCGTGGCAGGATGCTGTAATAAACTTCCGCTGCGTAGGGACATCAAGAATCTTCATGGTTAATCTCAACTTTTCATCTCGTATAGTTCCTGAGATCTCAGCGTTCATACGGACAGACGGACAGAAGGACAGACGGGCAGACAGACGGACATCAATCGTCTTCGCTATTCATCCTGATCAAGAATATATATACTTTATAGGGTCGGAAACGCTTCCTTCTACCTGTTACATACTTTTCAACGAATCTAGTATACCCTTTTACTCTACGAGTTATGGGTATAAACATACCACACACGATTATGAATGCACTGTTAAGCGCTACTAGCGGAAAGTTTAACCAGACTTTGACAAAAGTTGATTTTGAGAACAAATGATTCAAAAATAGCTTTAATACATTGCATAAAAAAAATGTAATGTGAAAGTCAATGATAACAGACGTGTTTTTATATCGCTTTTCCGTGTAAGACACACCAAAAAAGTCGAATTCCATTTTTAGTTCATGTGCATGGGAAATGTCCAATATAAAGTGTTCTAATTTCTTATATAAGCGATAATACAGCTTGTTATAAATCTCTCTCTCGAAAACCATAATTAGCAAGTCTCGGGAGCAATAATAAGACGAACGTCGGCTCTCGTCAATCAGAAATACCGCTTACTTCTCCATAACAGCGGTAGAATTAATAGAACCAACAACAACTGCAACACTGCAAGCGAATACAGAGAGAGTACGCTCGATCTCTTCCGGCTTATTATGTACAAGCGGCACATCACAAAAACAGCAGTGGAGTGCTCAATGCCCGTCCCCTGCTTATTACAACAACAACCAGCACAATGCCCTCGCTTAAAACGGTGAATTCGACACTAACGACGACAACAACCACCACAACAAGTACATCAACATCAACAAGCTAGCCCCTACGCAACCTTGAAATACAAAAAATAACGGACCATTAATACAAACAGGAATCGATCGGTATGTGCAAATAAAAAGAAAATAAGGCTCACAATCAGCTCAAAAAAACAAATGCATCAAAAGTTAACATGCATCGAAAGTTACAACTACCAACTTAAAAGTTGTGGTGGAAATCACACTGCAAATTGCAGAGGTTGTCCTATCTATAAAGAGTCGACTAGGCCAACATATAATTGTAGATCGAAATCATGGATTTCAGGAACAATTATTCACACATACCGTCGACCACGACCCCGGGAGTTTCTTTTGCACAGGCGTTAAGATATAACAACGAACCTACGCCTCAGCATCTAAGCTGACAGGTCAGCAAACCACTGCTGAATCAG